GAAAAATTTTTTTGATAGTTTAAAAATTCAAAGAATGGAAATCCCTGGCTGGGAAGAAGAACAATGGGAAAATAGAACGAAGAGAAAAGAAGACTGGCAGCTTGTGGGGGGGGAGGAGGAGGCGGGGGGTAGGGGGGGGGAGGGGGAGAGGGATGGAGGAGGAGAAATAGGTTTTTCCTTTTTTTTTTTTTTTTTTTTTTTTTTTTTTTTTTTTTTTGTCCTCCCCCCACCGTCCTCGTTTTATTGTGTCTGAGATAAATCTGGATGGGACCTGGGAGGTTATGGGGAGGTTAGACAAGGGGAAGTCGCCCCCATGGACGGAGTCTTAGCCCAAGGATTAAATCAAAAGTGGATCTTATAATCCATAAATGATTAGTAGGCAAATGATGGGCCTAAAAAAGAGGGGGTAGGGGAGGGGGGAGGGGGGGAGCGGGGAGGTTGGAAGGGTGGGAAATGGGAGAGGGGGGATGTTATTTCTGCAAGATAAAAGAAGTTCTAAAAGCAAGTGAGAAGGGAGAAGGAGGAGAAGGAGAAGAAGGGAGAAGAAGAGGAAATGAGAAAAGGGGAGAGAAAAGGAAAATATAGATGGAGGAAAAAAGAGGAAAATTAAGGAAGATGGAAGAGATTCAGTTTATAACATATAACGTAAATGGGATGAACTGCCCTGGGAAAAGATATAGAGTATTTAAAGAACTACACCATAGGGCTGCCTCAGTGATATTTCTACAGGAGACACATCTTGAGATAAAGTCAAATGTTAGGCTGAGGTCTAGAAATCACCCAACATGGTACTACGCAGACTCCCCGGTTAAAAGAGCAAAAGGGGTAGCAATAGGTATGGCAAAGAATATTAGGTTTGAGTTGGAAGATAGAAAGACAGACCCAGATGGGAGATTCTTGTTTTTAAAGGGCAAGTTACAAGAGATTGAGTGTACACTGGCCAACATCTACTGTCCTAATAAAAAACCGGAGGCGTATCTGAAAAAAGTGTTGAGGAAGTTGATGGACTTTAAAAAAGGACGTTTGATCCTGGCAGGGGACTTTAACTTTTGTATGGATCCACAAAGGGACGCCACCTCCCATATAAAAAGAGAGGGAAATAGGGCCCTGAAATTATTGAAAAAAGAATTACACATAAGTCAATTGGTAGATTCCTGGAGAATCACACATATGCAAGATAGAGATTATACTTTCTTTTCAAATATGCATAAGAGATATTCAAGACTAGATCATATATTAATAGAACATCAATCAATTGACCATCTGATCCAAGTAGAAATAGAGCCAATATCTTTATCAGACCATGCCCCAGTTATCATGAAAATGGAATGGGGGAGGAGGAAAATCGGAGGGCTGGGATGGAAATTGAACGAGACACTTTTAGTGGAAAAGGAAATAGCTCAGAAAATAGGGCAGGAGATCGAACGCTTTTTTAAGGAGAATGAGACAGGTGAGGTATCAACAGCCACAGTGTGGGAAACTCACAAAGCATATATAAGAGGAATATTAATGGCAATTGGGGCAAGAAAGAAAAAAGAAAGAAGGGAGAAAATGAGCGACCTCTTAGAAGATATAAGTAAAATAGAACAAATACATAAGAACAGGATAACAAAAGAAATAGAGCTGAAGTTAAAAAAAAAGCAAGAAGAATTGAAAGAAGTGATAGAAGAGGAGAGGAGAAAAGTATATAACAGAGTTTTGAGTGAGAGATATAGATGGGGAGAAAGACCTGGAAAATATCTGATGAGAGCCCTGAGGAAAAAGAAAAATAGAAATTATATAGAAAAAATAAAAGATGCTAAAGGAAACATGTTGCATTCAAATAAAGATATCATCAAAGCCTTCACAGAATATTACAGGAAACTGTATAATATAAGTCCCCTGGAAGGAGTAGAAAACATACAAAGTGAGAAGAATCAAAAAAGAAAGAAATATCTGGAAATGGCAGGGTTACTAAAACTAAGTGAGGACCAACTGAACTCCCTAGATGTAGATATCTCACAGGAGGAAATAAAATTAGCTCTGAAGGGGTCAGTGTCGGGGAAAAGCCCTGGGCCAGACGGATATACAGCCAGATATTATAAAAAAATTTAGTGAAATTTTAATACCAAAACTTAGAAATTATATGAACGCTCTAGGTGGAGAGATGGAAATAAGAAGAGAATCATTACAAGCCCAAGTAGTGCTCATACAAAAAGAGGGAAAAGATCCCTCACAGTGTTCGAGCTATAGACCTATTTCATTATTGAACACCGATATCAAGATATATGCAAAAGTCCTAGCAAATAGATTGAAAGAGCTAATGCCAGAATGGATACAAGAGGATCAGGTGGGTTTTGTCCCAGGGAGGGAGGGAAAAGACAATGGGTTAAGATCATTGATGTTAATCCAAAAGAGCAAAAAGGGAAAAGAACCGGTGGTGTTACTCTCTATAGATGCTGAAAAAGCGTTCGACAGAGTGAATTGGAGATTCATGACAGAAGGGTCAAACTTTTTTTTCTGAAAAAGTCAAAGGAAGTGACGAAACGCGTCAGGACACGTGACGTCATACGCATCGACGTTGACCGGAGGTGCGATCGCGGCCATCTTGGAAGTGGGAACATGCGGTTTATGTTTCCCTGAACCTGTCCATGTCCATACTGCTTGTGAGGAGGAGCTGTTACCACAAAATTTATGTGAGTTTTAATAAAGAAGAATACTTTTTATATGGTGACTGGTTTTCTGGAGGAAAGTGGAGGAGGAAATCATAATCGTTGGAGGAAATCAATGAGAGGAGATTGTAACCCAGAGTGGTTAATCTGCCCTGCTGTCTCTGCTATAGGGTAATTACCCATCCATATTAGAGTTGGAGAGTGGTGGTTTGGTTATCACTTTATATATATATTTTTTTGGGTGTGGTGTGATACACTGGCAGTGTTATCTGTGGAGTGGTTTTTCACACATTGCATGGCATATCTTATGTGAATGTGTTTTCACTCTTATTGTCATTTCACTTAATTGTATGTGTTTTGACACTGGGTTAGAGTATACACATCTATTGTATTTTGCATGCTGCACAGCGAGTGGCACTTGTGTTTTACATTATTTAAGGTATGACACTATGTCGAGTTTTCTTTTTTTTGAGGTGCACGAATATCAAGTGTTGCGGGTATTAAGAAGGTTTTGGTGACAAAAGAAGAAGAAAAAGTTTGAGTGTTTGTATTACACTTGTGAGGATTATTTTTTGTGACTTTTTGAAATTTTATTTATCATTTTATTTTTTTTGGACACGGTGGGATTTTTGGACATAAATTTTTTTATATATAATTAATATTTTTTTTTTTTTTATATATAATTTAAAAAAAAAAATTTTATATTAGTTTTTGTTTTATCTTTTGATTTGATGTATTTGCTCATAGAAAAGTCACATATATACTATTAAGCATTAAGCCATATTTTTCTCTCAGATCAGTAACCATTGACACCAATGATCTCTTTAGCTATCTGTAATGGTGGAATTCTTCCTACTGACCACAAATGCAAAGAGAATTCTACCCTCTAACCATAATGCTAATTTCCTGTGAGCTTTAAATTGTAGTAAAAAGTTATTTTAAGGGTTCCTCCACTTCAAAATGGTTTAGAAAGCCTGGTGAATATACGTCATTTGTTCAATGCCTTGCTATTGTTCCCAGTCCTTCTGACATCATCTTCAACATCATACAGCCATTTCACCATTAGTTTTTCCACTCCATCAGAATCTGGCTTTCTCAATCTCGGTAACCAGTTCTGGTTGACTGCACAGAATAAACTGTCAGTTGCTGCTATTTCTGTAGGGCAGACATAGTTTTCAGACCCAGAAACAGGTCAGACACAGCACAGGGTGGGTTTTAATTTGGGATGACATTTGGGCAAATATTTTCTTAAAAGTGAACATACCATTATGCAGTGATGGGGCCTAAATAATTTCTAAGTTATGGTGGCAGTCAAATAGCTATAGGTACTCATGTTGTAAAGATCTCAGACAATGATCCAGACAAATAAAGAATGTTCTGCTTCTCCATGGCTGGATTTAGGACTAAACTCCATTGTATCAAATGTGTAATTATTGCAAAGCCTAAAGACAGAAGGCCATGGCTAAATTAAGTTTTGGCATAGTAGTCGAGGCAGGGGCGGACTGACAACTCATGGGGACCCAGGGCAATAGGGGATCATGGGGCCCCTGTGTCCTTGCCCAAACTCAAAAAAGCCTATGAAAAAGGTACCAGGGGCATCTCATGGGACCCCCTACTGACCCCGGGCCCTCGGGCAGTGCCCGAGTTTCCAAATGGTCAGTCCGTCCCTGAGTCGAGAACATTATTCATTTATATTTTCTTGTGCATTATAAGTTAATTAATCATTCTATTAATATGGAAATTTTGATACAAACTAGCATCCTGGCTTCAAGGCTATGTCCACCCAGAAACTGAAGTCTCCCTGGGTCGTGATAGTTCTAAAGCTGTCATGTCACCTGACTTAACTTGGTATTAAACGCAGGGAGTGATACCTCAGCGCATATATTAACGGAGCAAATATATGATTTCGGTATCCAAAAATTAATAAATAATAAACCGTACAACTGTGTAAATCCAACAAAAAATCCAACAAATCTAAAAAAGGAGTACAAAAAAGTCACACTTTCATCCCTGAAAATGAAAAATAATATATAAAAACCTTTTTTGTGCCAATCAATGAGTAAATAAAGTCCAAACGAAAGTCCACAAAAAATAAATAAATAATCTTCTTCTGTGTCCAGTTAGTACCTCCACATAACTCCAGTGTGTACCTCAAAATAAATAAATAAAATACTACATAGTGTATTACCTTTGATAACAACTAATAAATAGTTCAAACACAAATGCGTGCAAAAACAAAAAAGATTCAAATCATGAGCAACACGTGAAACGTGAATCACTCCATGTACACCTTAAATATAAATAAACGTGAACAATCAGTGTACACTCAAAAATGACAATAAAATTAATTTAAATAAAATAAATAAATAATATATTAAATAAATAAATCAAATAAAGTAAATAAATAAATGAATAGTGCACTATTTGTGAACACTTCTAAAGCTGAAATGCATACAATTACCCTCTCAAAGTGACATCAAGCCTTGTAGAGTATACCCTGGACTCTCACTCCAGTGTAGTATCACTCCCTGGACTTTCACTTCAGTAAACACAGGTGGGGTTCCCCTTTAAGGCAGATGACTAGTGTCTCCTCATCCTCATAGAATAGAAAGGAAGCCCATGTAATGTAGTATCAAAAAGCATAAATATTTATTAGGTAAATCTTACATATTAAACTTCATCTGTCAGCTGTACATATCACAGAGCAGCTTCCTGGAACGTCCTATGCTGTATTCCAGTAGTAAAGATGGCTGCTCCGCCACTTCTGGGTTTGCGCGGTTACGTCAGACGTCACGTCACTGATGCGTTTTGTCACTTCCGGACTTTATCTGAAGGGGTCATTTCTTGTGCATTATTATTATTATACAGTATTTATAAAACGCCAATGGTTCCCTCAGCACTGTACATTACAAAGGGAGACAGAACATGTGACAGAACAATACCAATACAATGGAAAACATGAGGGGATCGAGGGCCCTGCTCTTTCGAGCTTACAATCTAGGAGGGAGGGGATGGTGGCACAGGAGGAGATAGATGTGGGGGGGATGGAGTGGTAGGAAGAGTGGAGGAGGTCGGCAGGTTAGAAGGGGGTGGTGTAGGCTTCCCTGAAGAGATGGGTTTTCAGGGTGCGCCTAAAAGAAGAGGAGAGTAGGTGATAATCTGATGGGTTGGGGCAGGGAGTTCCAGGGAATGGGTGACACCCTGGAGAAGTCCTGGAGGCGGGCATGGGAGGAGGAGACCAGGGAACTAGAGAGAAGGAGGTCTTGTGAGGAGCGGAGTGTGCGTGTTGGGCGGTACTTGGATATTAGGTCAGTGATGTAGTTCGGGGCAGTATGGTGGACAGCTTTGTACGTCAGTGTTAGGATTTTAAATTTGATCCGTTGCGCAATCGGAAGCCAGTGGAGGGATTGGCAGAGGGGGGTGGCAGAGATGGAGCGGTTGGAAAGGTGAATGAGTCTGGCAGCCGTATTCAGGATCGACTGAAGTGGGGATAGCCAGCGGCGAGGCAGGCCAGTGAGGAGGGAGTTGCAGTAGTCAAGTCGTGATATGATGAGGGAGTGGATGAGCTGTTTCTGGGGTTAGGAACGTGCAGATTTTGGCGATGTTGCGGAGGTGGAGTCTGCACGAGTTTGTTAAAGATTGGATTTTGGGCTGGAAGGATAGGTTGGAGTCCAGAATGACACCAAGTACTCTGGCCTGCGGGGCGGGTTTGATGGTGGCGTTGTTGGATGTGACGGAGAAGTCAATGGGGGGTGGTGTCCGGGCTGGGGGGAAGACAAGAAACTCTGTTTTGGAGAGGTTCAGTTTAAGGAAGTGGAGCGACATCCAGTCTGATATGTTGCTCAGTAGGTGTGTGATTCGGGCGGAGACCGAGGGGGTAAGTTAATTAATCATTCTATTAATATGGAAATTTTGATACAAACTAGCATCCTGGCTTCAAGGCTATGTCCACCCAGAAACTGAAGTCTCCCTGGGTCTGATAGTTCTAAAGCTGTCATGTCACCTGACTTAACTTGGTGTTAAACGCAGGGAGTGATACCTCAGCCCATATATTAATGGAAGCAAGTAAAATGTAAACTCTGCATAAGCTGGAGATAAATAATAAATCTCTAGCACTATCTCTTAGCAACAGAACAATAAACACTATTATACTGCCAAACATTCACATGAAACTAATTGCTACTACTAATACTTCTCATAATACATTTTAGCAGGATATTTATTAGCATATTGATAGGTAGTGCTTACTTTTAGTGGCCTTCTATCTTTCAGTCAATAACCTCAGCTGTATCTCACTCCCTAGCATGTCTGAAAAGCATCTGTAATTTATGGTGTGCTGAGTACTATGCTCTGTGGACTCTAGTGTTGCTCCCACCATCATTATCCATAGTGATGGAATCCATGATGGTAGGGTAAAGGTCCTAATTAATAATGTACACTGGTCCAGATGTAGATCAGCCACAAGACATATGTTACAGCTATTACAGTCTTACTTACTGATCCTTACTGACACTCCAGGCAAGATATGAAGAAGAAGCATATGCAGTACAACAAGGAGGAGGATCAGTAGGGTGGATAGAATGTCTCTCCCCTCTGTGTAATGTTAATATAATTTATGAATAACGTTTTCCTTCCTCCCTTCTTTTCTTGCAGCTTTCTTCGCCTTCTTTCCCTCCTTCAGGTACAGGAAAGAAGCCTATACAATGCCTCCCTCCCTTCTTTCCTTCCTTTCTTTCCTTCCATACTTCCTTCCTTCTTTCCTTTCTTCCCTTCCTTCGTTCCATCCATCCTTTCCTTCCTGTAGAGGAAAGGAGCCTATGCAACTGCCTTCCTTCCTTCTGTCCTTCCTTCCGTCCTTCCTTCCCCTTCTTCTTCCTTCCTTCCCTTCTTCCATTCTTCTTTCCTTCCACAGGAAGCAGTTGTAATGCCAATATGTGATGCTGAGCCTCCATGATTGGAAGAGCTGAAATCCAATGAAGAGTAAGAAAATCCAATACAATAGAAGAACCTATAAAACTGCAAGACTGAGGGGCATCCTGGTTGTGAGTGGGGCCAGATGGTTGGTACCCAAAGGGGAGTCAGTGCACATGGATACCAAGGAATGCAGCACAGTGTATTAACACAATGTTCCAATAAGGTGGCCATACAGCCTGAATCTTACATACAGTCATACAGTGCAGTAGAACTGTAAAGAACACAGTCTCAATACAGTAAAGGACATATTGGAAAGCCTACGATGGCTGACAGCATCTGGCAAAGGAGGTGGCTGGTAGCTGGTGTGGTGACAACAGCACCCAAGATGCAGAAGGAGCTCCTAGATAGCAGCCTCAGGTGTGAGATTCCTACTCTGTCTCTCCTGCACTGGAACCTTTCCCTACGCTAGACACACTGTCCCTCACCAGCGGGTTCCTGTCCCTGACTTAGTTACTTTGAAAATACACACGAACTGCAGTGGGACAGTGGTATTTATTAACAGTGCCCTCACTAAAGATAGCCGCAGAGGCCTTCCAGTGCAATTGGATAGTTGTTTCCCAGATGATGCCTCCGAAGGCCTTAGAGCAGTGGTTCTCAACCTGTATGTCGCGACCCCTTTGGGGGTCGAACGACCCTTTCACAGGGGTCCCCTAAGACCATCAGAAAACACATATTTCCGCTGTGTAAAGAGCAGCTACTGTGTAGAAAGCAGCTGCTGTGTTGAAAGCAGCTACTCTGTTAAAAGCAGCTACTGTGTTGAAAGCAGCAGTATTGGAGGTCAAACGACACTCATGAATTATAATTACTGGGTAAATAATTTTATGGTTGGGGGTCACCACAACATGAGGAACTGTATTAAAGGGTCACGGCATTAGGAAGGTTGAGAACCACTGCCTTGGAGGAACAAGAGTTCCTCTCACCCCCCATCCTCTCTGCATGGCAGCTGCCGTAACAGGGCCACCTGTGTAGGAAGGCTGAACTACACCTGCCTACATGGAGATTGGCTTTAAGACATTGATTTTTTGATAAATAGCTGGTACAAATACTTATAGCACTGAAAAGTTACCTATGGATGTAGTGGAAAGCCAAATGGTAAGAAAATTAGAATGTTTGTAACTAGCAAGGGAGAAGCATTTGAGAAGGAATCTCATGAAGGGTCCCTTTTATAGAGGGGTGGAATAGTTTAAAATTGCATAAAAGTTCAGCTGCCTATAATTCTGGATCTGTTCAGTGTTTGATATTTAGTCAATGACCTATATTTATACATTTTTTTCATCATATGCTCAGTTTGAGTTGAACGGCATTACATATGGCTATAGGTCTGTTTTAAACACCTTTTCATTGAATACAATGGCTTCAAAGGTCAACAACAAGCACGTCTTACAGTATATAAAACCTGATCACTAAATCACATATAAGCTTTAATGTTCTTTCAGAAGTCTTTTATTATAGGTATTTATATAGCACTGACAGTTTACACAGGACTTTAATGTACATTCACATCAGTGCCTGCCCTCAAGGAGCTTACAATGGAAGGTCCCTATCTCACATACTACGGTCAATTAACCTACCAGCATGTCTTTAGAGTGTGAGAGGAAACCTACACAAGTACATTGCCTTGGGGGATCTGGAAGGATTTTTTTCGCCACTGGAGCAAATTGGACCATGTTTTATACAGAATGCTTTTATGCCTTCCTCTGGACCAACTGTTGGCTTTTCTATTAGTGGAACCTGTGTCTTTTTTCAACTTGATTAACTATGTAATTTAGAGAACTTGTAAACCCCATGCAGTTAGCATCCATTTTCGGGAGTCGAACCGAGGACCCAAGCCCTGCAAGGCAAAAGGGCCACTTACTAAGCCATAGCAAACTCATTAATTGTGGTAGATGATATACATAGACACCACATCCTGATCCAGTATATAGAATTGCTTTTAAGAGTGGAATTTGAGGGGGGCCCAAAAATTCATACAGGAAAATTGTTGAAAAAGCTTTAATTAATAAAAAAAATAATGATAAAATCATTACCAATACCAATATTTAAGTTAAAAGCCCCCTGGCCACAATTTTGTTTACAGATGTATATAACTGTAATATTTATTTTTTTAATTACAGGTACTTATATAGCACCATCAACGTACGCAGCACTTTACATATACTGTATATTGTACATTCACATCAGTCCCTGCCCTCAAGGGGCTTGCAATCTCAGGAATAGCTCTCATTCATAGATACACATACAAGGGTCAAATTAGACAGGAGCCAATTAACCTACCAGCATGTCTTTAGAGTGGGAGGAAGCCAGAGTAAACCCATGTAGGCACAGGAAGAACATGCAAACTCCAGGCAGGTAGTGCCGTGGATCTGATTTGAACCAATGACCCTATTACTGCCAGGCAAAAGTGCAACCAGCTATCCAGCCA